AAGTCATTGACACCAATTGTTATCTAAAATGATGAACTACCTTTGTACATTTTTTGATTTGACAAGTTTACCTCTGTACAGTTAAGACTTAAGCCTCTGTTTTCTCTTTTCACCAATCTTTCGAACCAAAAATATGTAACTTTTTTCTCTTTTTATTTTTTAATGTGGCGTATACCACCATTGCACAGACCCCCTTGATTTGTCCGGGTACCAAAATGTAACGATTGAGCTTAACAAAAGCTATTTTAGGTAAACGTACTTCAAAAGATTTACTCTTCAGGTCGGAAATTACAGAGCGCTTTATCAAACAATATTAAAGTTGCAATTCTATTTTTATTTGTAAAATGTTGTAGAAACTAATACGGCGTTGCTTTTTGCATTCATAGGGCTTTAACATTATGAAATTGATGAAATTCATTTGCGATTATTCTATCAAAAGATGGCGTTTAAAATAATTGATTTTTAAAACACTATTCCTTGAAAAGCCGTGATTACGGTTCGGATAATTTTCTTTAACATCTCAGACAGGAAAACTTCAAATATGCCACATTCCCTCACCGTACATCTCCATAAGGTAATATTATTTTAATAAGGTATTCATTAAAGCACTCTTCCGAAAATGCGCAAGTAAAATATATCACATTATACTTTATTTTTGTGAAGCCAATCGTAATACACAATGGATGTCAGAGATAGTGTTTCCCAAAGACACGAACGTAACCTACAGCGCAAGAACAGATCCAGTCGTGGTCGTTTTACAGCGTTTCGCTCTACAGCGCACGCCCACTCGGCATGCTCCGCTTCCCAACGACAACTCGCCCATTACGGTAAGTCAACATTTAATCATCTTCCATCTTATCGCTCCTTCAGGCGGTAACGGAGAGCCATGTGAATGAGAGCGCGCATCAACCAAACGCGGGACGGAAACGCCTCCACGCCGGGCTGAGGCATTGTGCGGGTGAAATACGCCCAAACAACGTGGATTAAACAAAAGGCGGGTGACGAGTAGAGCATGGGGCGTGGCGGGCGGAGATAGCGTGGTTTGGACGGGCGACGGCGACGAGAGGAGGGCGAGGGGGCGGTGGTAGACGAGGAGGCGGCGGTTGGTAGACGAGGAGGGGCGGTCGTAGACGAGGATGGGGCGGTCGTAGACGAGGAGGGGGCGGTCGTAGACGAGGAGGGGGCGGTCGTAGACGAGGACGAGAGCAGTCTAGACGACGAGGGGGCCGGTCGTAGCGACGATGGGGGCGGTTCGTAGTTGACGAGGGGCTGGTTCTAACGAGGAGGGCAGTCGTAGACGACGAGGGGGCGGTCGTGTTGACGAGGGGCCAGTGTAGACGAGGAGGGGCGGTCGTTTAGACGAGGAGGGTGGTGGTAAACGAGGGGGGCGCGGCACACCGAGGGGGCGGCGGCACACGAGGGGGGCGGCGCACACAGAGGGGGCGGCGCACAGGAGGGGGCGGCGCCACACGAAGCGGGGGCGGCGGCACACGAGGGGGGTCGGCGGCACACGAGGGGGCGCGGCACAC